CGCGCGTGTGCGGCATGGCCGGGCACCGCTCTGCGACCCCGGGCCTGGCGCTGCGCTGCTTTCCTAACCCACAGCGCCTGTTCTTCTGCCTTCCAGGATCTGGTAAAGAGTCACTTGATGTACGCAGTAAGGGAGGAAGTGGAGGTCCTCAAAGAGCAAATCAAAGAGCTGATAGAGAAGAACTCCCAGCTGGAACAAGAAAACACTCTGCTAAAAACACTTGCCAGCCCGGAGCAGCTTGCCCAGTTCCAAGCGCAGCTGCAGACTGGTTCCCCACCTTCCTCTTCCCAGTCACAAGGGACAACACAGCAGCCTGCTCAGCCGGCGTCACAGGGGTCGGGGCCTTCAGCGTAGCTCACGATGTCGTTGCCATCCTGATCGTTGGCCTCTGGACTGCCCAGGGCGAGAAGGACTAGCGGGAATCCGTCACAGCCATCCTTCATCCATTTCAGTGCACATTGCAACCCAGACTGCGGACTCCATGCCCTGCACACATCAGAGGAGGCTTCTCCCCCCTGTATTACGCACTCATCTGTCTCCCTCTTCCCTCCCTTACCCCGTTGGCTTGAAGGAGTTTTTGTTCTTAGGTTGGTTGAGTAAAATAAACTTTTTCCAGAGAATTAGCACAAGTACACTGGGGACTCGAGCAGCTTCTGCAGATGGCCAAGAAACGAAGCTGCATGCCTGAATTTTTTGGTTTGATTTTTAAATCTTCCACTCATCCAGTGATACAGCTGATACAAGTGCTTTTCGAGCTTGGAAATGTGAAGAAATAGACCGGAGTAAAAAGTGATGGTTCAGTCCCCCATAGTGCATTGGGGTTCCAAAGTGAGGACTGATGCATAGGATCTAAGAGGAAGAGGGAGAAAGGTAATTTCAGTGTTTAACACTTAATTGTCACCTGAAACCTTAAGTGCAAATACTTGCACCGTTTTCTGAAGCAGTGGACAGGTGCATAAAGCTGTATTATATATAGAAAACAGGTAGGTGACATACAGTTGGGTCATAGGTTAATCACAATGAAGGTTATTTGCCTACTGTATATTTGTGTATTTAGTGTAATTACTTTGTAAAATAGAAAACTGTAACTATTTAGGTTGTACAGATTGAAGTTTAGTTGTTTCATTGGCTGATCTGAAGAAGTTTGAGGAGGGTGTTTTTTTTGGGTTTTTTTTTTGTTTTTTTTTTTTTTTAATGCTACAGAAATAAGAATGCACCTACGCAACTGTTCAGAATTTGGCAGATTTATGCTCTTCGTGTAACTTCTGAAGTTCCCTGGCTGTTGATTATCTTGAAGTAAGTCATTGTTCATTGTAGTTTGGTTCAGAAAGGAAAAACCACTCCAAAAATTATCAAACCCCGCTAGCAAAGAATTTAAAAAAAAAAAAAAAGATTTGATTTCCCAGTATGGATTTTTTGCATATGATCTGTATAGTAGTATGCATATGTTTTTGTGCATGTTCTCTACAGTTGTAACACGTCGATGTATTTAACTGTTGCACTTGTCAACTTTCAATAAAGCATACAATGTTGATAAATCACTGTTTGTATATTGTACTGATGTTAACCGCAGTTACTTTTCAGTCTGTTGCAGTGCAGTTTTACATGAGCAGTGAGGTCAGGAAGCATAAGTCTGTGTGCAAGATCCTGCCTTCTTCGCTTCAGAGCTTTAGTTTCTGCTAAAAGTGCAGCTCCTGCTTTCCACAGTTCTTTGGAACACAGAGATTGTGAAGTCAGACAAAGGATGTAGGGGAGTAGAGTGCCTGACTAAGCAAAGCTGCTGGTTTTGGTCCAGTCCTGTACAGTCAGGCTTGTAGAGTGCCTTCTGTACATTGAGTAGTAGATCAGCAGGAGCACAGACATCTGTTCTGTGATCAGCCATGAACATGTAAGTTGTTCCCTAGTGGCAAACTGCATCCTTTGTGGGCACTGCTCATCCCGTGCTGGCAGCAGCTCCCACACCCTTAATTCAGGCTGACAAATGCAGCGAGCACTGCAGCTTCCCTGGTGGGTCAGCCTGCATTATCCTATCAATTCTGCATTCTGAAGGTATTGAGAAGAATCTCCACTTCTGTGTTTAGCTAAAACTTTTCCTTCAGTTTGGAAAAAATACTTACTGCCTCTTCAGTAATGATTATTAAAATGCAACTGAATCCAAACCTACGAATTTCCAGGTGTATGACTAGATAAGGTGTGGCTGATGAGCTGCAACCAGGGGAGCAAAGGAATTTGCAGTTTTACGGTGGATTGTGTTTGCTGGTGTTGACAATGTGAATCTTGGACATTTAAGACTATTAATGAGATAAAATGGTCAGTACTGTGAGTAGCAGCACAACACTCCAACCTTGAAAGCAGTGGCCTAAAATGTGAATAAATTAATTTGACTTAAAACATAATGGTTAATTACAAAGTTTTTTAATGGAGTCATATTGCTCCATATAATGAAACTCAGGAGATAACTTGTGTAACTTCAATGTATTGAGAAGAATCAGGTGTAGCAGAGCAAACGAGAAGTCCGAGGGTTGGAAGGTACGATGGGTAATCCTTTTGTGTAGTTTACAGCTGAATTCTTGCTTTTGGATGCTCACCAAGCAGCAGTTCAGGCTCAGCTTAGCCGGATCACAGCACAAGTAGTTGGATTGCCATATCAAAGTGCCTGCGTGAGTGTGTCTCTGTGGGAGTGCGAACTTGAATTCGTAGTTTGTGTTCTTGAGATTTCAGTATGTAATTTAAAGAGTGTTCTTAATGAGGAAACGCCAGAGAGAAATGTGAGATTTGTGGGGTTTTTTTCATGGATTAAGCTAAAATTAGAAATTGATGATAGCCTTTGTGGCAGAACAGCACTCGAATTATTTGGATCTGACAAAAGGAATGCTAATTTTGGTGCTTTTTAAAGGGCTTGATTGTTTCTACTTGCCTTTATATTCTGCCTGTCTCTTCAGCACTTCCAGGCCGTAACATTGAGTATATAAAAAAGTCAATCTTTATACACAGATCAGCTTTTTCACCCGCTTCACTTACCGAAATTTGCAGGGTTATTTGTTTGTTTAAATTGACCTCTAGGCTTTTTTTTTTTTTTTTTTTTAAGAACAACCTCAGCATCTTCTAAATCCAAGATACTTTTTTTTTTAACTTTTCTTTAAATAAGGTATCTGGAAATCTTCAGGTTTTTGGTTAGGTGATACATTAATAAGTTTAGTACACTGTACCTCAACTTTGGCAGATCTGGTCATTTACTCTGAGGTACTGAACAGTTTTAAAACTATGGAGCTGGCTCTTGGAGCTGTTCATTAATTGCTAGAGTTAGGCCGAGCAACCTTTTGTTGCTGAGATGATTTTAGCAATAGCTCTGTCAAAACTGCAGCCTCTCCATGAAAGGGATTCAAAGAGACTAAAATTGCACATGAAATCCAAACAAAGAGTAGATGTTTGTCAGTTGTGTTGTAATACTTCTGGAATGAATTGTTTTGATTTTTGCTTTTGTTCTAGAACAAGTAACTTTTCAGAGAACTTTAAATCAAATGTTATCACTGGTCAAGAGTGTTGTCTTTTTCCACCAAAATTTTTCTTTGTACTAACCTCAAGATGCCCAGGTTTTCATCCATAGTGAGGGTCAAATTAGTTGTAATCCATCTTTTATATGTCAGGCTTTTTTATTGTCTGTGTATCTCCAATTCAGTAACTTTAGGCTATATTTGGGCTGTTTGTCATTTAATGTCTTGTTCACCATTACCTTCATACTTCATTTATTTTTAACAGCAATATGATAAACAGATCTAAGGAAATGATTACTGAGACCAGGTTGCTGGTTTTGCCTCTTGTGACTTCATTTTCTTTTTAGCTAATAATATTTGGCAAATAATTCTAAGGCAAGTCCAGGCTGCTCAAATTCTGGGGGCTCTGCATTTACCTGAGTGTGCAGGTTTTGGCTGGAATAGAGCTAGTTTTTTTATAGCAGCTTGTATGAGTGTGTAGTGTGGGTTTGTGCTGAAAACTGTTGATTTCATTACTGCCGAGCAGTGCTGACAGTGTCAGGGCCTTTTCTGTCTCTCACCCCATGCCACCAGCTGACCCAACTGACGACAGGGATATCCATACCATATGGCATCATGCTCAGCATGTAAAGCTGGGGAAAGAAGGTGGATGAGGAAGACATTTGGAGTGATGTTTTTCTTCCCAAGTCACCATTACTCATGATGGAGCACTGCTTTCCTGGAGATGGCTGAACATCTGCCTGCCTGTGGGAAGTGGTGAATGAATTCCCTGTTTCGCTTTGCTTGTCTGCATGGCTTTTGCTTTAACTGTTAAACTTTCTTTCTCTCAACCCAGAGTTCTCTCACTTTTATGATTCTTTCCCCCATCCCATTGTGGGGAGTGAGCAAGTGGCTGTTGTGGCACTTAGCTGCCAGCTGGGGTTAAACCACAACAGTCCTTTTTGGTGTCCAGTGTGGGGCTCGAGATAACATCAGATTTTATTGGAATGTACCAGATCAATCTTGCAGCTGTTACTGTTGTTTAGCTATTAATCGACAGGTTCCTGTTTGCCATGGGGCTTGTTTGCCTGACCATGTATTAGAGTCTAGTGCTCATTAGTGGCTGGTTGCTGTCCTGCTGTATTGCTTATCACCTTACTCTGCCGTGCCTGGGAACACTTTGATAACAGCCATGGCAATGTGCTGGGGCTGGCAGATGGCCAGGGCATCGCTGCTGTTTCTGAGCTGCTGTACTGGACAGACTGGAACTTCAGTGTGAACCTGAGGGACTGTGACCTGTGGATGAGTCCACCCAGGAGCAGGACAGAGCAAGTACATCTCATAATGTCTGGCTGTGGTTATGTCTGTGCCACAGCAGGTGTTTCCCTGAATGGATTGTGGCCCAAGGCTAAGTCCATGCTGGAGAAGGTACACCTTGAAGCATCAGTGGCTGTGCGTGAGGTCATGTTGGAGTACTTGAAACCGCTCAAAGAGACTATGGATGTAGGTAAGTCCATGCCACAGCAGGTATGCCCCTGAAGAGACTGTGGCTCATAGATAAGGCTTCACTTGGAGCAGGTTTACTCCTAAGGGGCTGCAGTCTGTGGAGGAGTCCAAGCTGGAGCAGGGGCAAGGGGAAGAGTTAACTGCAAGATTAAACCCCATGGACTGGTCCAAAGGGACCAGGGGTGATGATAGTAATGGAAATAGCGTAAAATTGTTGTAACCTGGAATTTGAGTTGCATGTTATAGGAATTACTACAGTAGGAACCACCTGGATCAGTGGAGGACAAGCCTTACAAGAAGCAGTTGCAAGTACAGCAGTGACCTGACCTGAGCTGGCTTTAGTGCCCAATAACTCCACACAACACATCACATCTCCTGTCCCAAGTGACCACCAGAACAGATGGAGACCAAAGTCATGGGTGAAATAAACATTTTGTGGATGTTTGTGGGTACTTGACAGACATTTCACAGGGGTGGTCTGTAGACTAAGGGAATGATACCTGTGTATTATATCAAAGGATGGTGAGAGTGATGGTGAGCAATGAGGATGTATTGGATAGCACAGGACCTGGGTGTGATGTAAATGGGAGTGGTGAACGTGCTGGTTCCAGCTGGAATAGATCTGATTTTCTTCACAGTAGCTGGTATGAATCTACATTGTGGGTCTAAATACATATATGTGCTGGTTTGGGCTGAAGTAGAGTTAGTTTTCTTCACAGTAGGTCATATGGGGCTGTGTTTTGGTTTTTTGTGCTGAAAACAGTGTTGATAACCCAGATGTTTTTGTTACTGCTGAGCAATGCTGACACATAGTCAGGGCTTTTTCTTTGCAGTGATGGCATTTGTCTTCCCAAGTCACTGTTACATGTGACAGAGCCCTGCTTTCCTGGGGATGGCTGAACACCACCTGCCCATGGGAAGTGGTGAATGAATTCCTTGGTTTGCTTTGCTTGTCTGCGTGGCTTTTGCTTTACCTGTTAAACTGTCATTATCTCAACCCATGAGTTGTCTCACTTTTCTGATTCTCCCCCATCCCACTGTGGGGAGTGAGCAAGTGGCTGTTGTGGCACTTAGCTGCCAGCTGGGATTCAACCACAACATTA